TTCAGCCTCTTAGGCTTTTTCATAAAGGATTTCCTTGTGTGTCCCTCAATATATAATATTTCTCTTTTTTTTTTTTTTTTTGCAATAAAGTTGTTTTGTTAATTTACATATTTTTATATGTGTTCATTGGGCCTTAGGACAACAGTGTGTTTTCTTATGGTTGTATTCATTTTGTGGGTTACCCTCCCCTGTCAAGGTGTCCCCAGCACACGATGTAGCCTGTACAAGGGACTAGTTTTTCTGCATTACATTAGTGAACCTGGATATTTTGAAGACGGAAAAAAAAATACAGATTCTGAGAAATTATTTTTTTTATAAGTATAAAAAAATGATTCTGTTGTTGGTGGTCCTTAAAGGGTAAATTATACTTGATATAATGCATTAGTGAGAGCCTTTGAGCATCCTTCCCTTTGCACATCCCATTTTTTTATCAATACATTGATTTACAGCCTTCAAATACTTTGTCAATATATTTCCCTTTCTAGTTCATCAGCTTAGGTAATTTACGTTTTAACATTCGTGGCAAGTGATAATTAAGTGTATATTTTACGTACAAGCGATATAAAACTCTTGCCATCTGATTTTATGGTTGGAGAAATAAAAGTCAAGTCCTTAAAAGACCTCAGGGAAACAAAAAAAAAAGCAAAGGTTCTGGTGGTAAATATAGATGGTAATTAAAACATTGCAGACAAGTGACACATACCAGACAGGTGATTTGTGCATATCTATGTACTTATCTAAGATCAACATCTTGTTACATGACACTTCTTATATGTCAGCATTGTTTTTATTCTTACATTAAGCTGCATGAATAGCTTTGGGGTTTAATTTATGAAAATAAGCCTGCAGCAATCACATGAATGCCAAAAAATAATTTCATGTTTCTTCCTTATGTATAATGAACCCATCAACGTATATTTTCATTTCCATTTTATGACTGATAAGTTTGGCTGTGGCATTCTATTAAGATCTAGAAGAAACACTAAGTGATCACTGGCTGTCCTGGTGCGGAACCTTATGTTTTGGACTACAGGTATAGATGATGAGAGACGACAGACCTACATTCCAATAATTTTAAGTAACAAATAAATGGCTGACGGTGATAGGAAACACTTTATTAGAATTGTGGCGAACAGAACCTCGCCACGGGCTTCAGGAGGAGCCGGATTGCCAGCCTTCTACTTAAAGACTATGGGTCCTTTAAAAACTTATGTGAACAGACTTGGGATTTTATATTTGGTTCAGGAACCCAACAGGCGTACGAACATGCGCACAAGCCATGGACCACTCGGGAGCTTGTTAAACCCTATTAACACTTGCAAACGATTCTAACCGCAGTGCTCTAATTGTTCGTCTGGTTGGCCGCCTTTCTTATGGCCGAACATTCCAGCTGTGTTTGGTCGTCAAGTTCATGGAACTGTTTTCGGACACTGAAACTCCCGAACACCGCTGGACTTCCATAATCACCTGCGTTTGGTTCTGTACATCGTGAAAGGCCACTGTTTGGTGGAATCGTTTGTCTGGATGAGGGGAACAAGCTCCAGGGTAAGACTATTGACTATGTTCGGTTGTTTGTTCGGTTTTGAAACTACCAAACTAGACCGACCGCAAGCCCTGATTCTCTGGAACTGTTTTGGGCAGTAGCATTGTGTGCGCTCGGTCAACTTATTACTTCCATGGAGGTCCTGAACCCCTGAACCGATCTGGGTGATTTTGGGATATGTTGGTTCCCCAGATCGGGGCTATCATTGGATGTGACTTTTGTGGGGTTTCCATGTGTTTTGGTGGTACTTTCGGGATGTTGTTGGAAAATATGTTTTCTGTGCATGGAGATAATTGATTTTAGTACAGTTCCTGACTCATTTATCTCTCAGACACAGGGGAGGAATTACCCTGTTTTGTGTGGGAGTGTCCTGGGCATGTTTACTGTGGCTAGTCTCCTCTCGGGTCCACTGGGGAATGCCCCTGGAGTTTGTCACGGTAAACCCGTTGCATGAGGATTCACATAAAAGGCCGTGTGTGGCTCCCATTAAACCAGTTCTCCTTCACCCTCAACATAGAGCCTCGTCTCATGCTTGGAGGGAACAGCTATATTCACTCTGGGGATTGCTATAATCATTATTCTCCCTTGGATTATAATCACATCCTCTTTTAAGAGCATACTGCTTTTACTCTCTGGATTAGGAGAGGTCTACCCACTGGAAGCTGGATCTTGGGTCCAGGGTGGGTGGAGGACAGTGGAACCTCAACTCAGCTGTAACGCTGGCTCTGGGGATTACAGTGTTTATGGTGTCTGGTGAAGTGCTTGGAACTAATCTGGAATACTAGGAATCATCGATTGGCGGAGGCACCCAGTTGGGGTGCCAAGCGGTCCGCCACAAGAATCAATGGGGTTTTTCATTAATTTCTAACTAAATTAAACTAGTCAAGATGTCAGACTCGGATTTAAATGTCAAGTGCCTGTCAGTGCAGCCTTTTTTTTTAAAAAAGCACATAAAGTGTTTTTGATTAATTTATTAACTGGACACTGCAGGCAAACAAATGTCTAATTGTTTAAGATTTAAAGATGTAAGAAGTGGTTAGAGTAAAGGTGGGTCTAATAGTTCAGAGGGGTTAATATCAGAGTTAGATTGAGGTTAAAATTTGTACATGAGGTCTTTCATTAAGAGTTAAAACAAGGATTAAGGTAAAGAGTTTTCTTCAGGTTTAGGTTTAGGTTTAAATTTGGGAGTAAGGAAAGGATTTGTTTTGGGAGGGGTTTAATTTAGGGTTAGGGAAATGGGGTGTTTACTGCATGTAGAGATTGAAGTGCTATTTGCAAAGTGTTCACCTACTTGTGGGTCCGGAGAGAGGGACAGTCACCAGGCTAGGTGCGGATGGGGAAGCGCGATGCAGGATTCTGGTACACTGTCTCACATGGCCATAGGCACTCAGTGGAGGGCATAGGCTGAGCTACGCAATAAGCATAGGTGACACACCAGAGTCTGATATAGGGCTTCATTGTCTACATCTTAAGCATTTGTCTACCCAGGGATAATCACTCACTCACTCTGAAGCGTCTGTTAATCTTCATATATTTCTAATAGAATAGTCAGTTGTAAAGCATATATACCTTCTTACGCACACACTATGACTTGTACCACACCACTGTTTACTCTGTATTACTTTAAAAATGTGCACAGTTCTTCATGTCATACAATTGTCGTTATATGTATGTTGAAATTCTGGCAACAGCTGTGGTGGTATTGCCAGCTCAAATGTAACAAGTATAATGTATGCACAAAAAAATAAAGAATTTAAAACAAAGTGTTCTGTTGACTGATACTAGTGCAGTATCACTGCAGGTGCTGTTATACAACTTAACTCACACAGTGTTGCCCCATTATACAGAGTGTGCATCACTTAGTGCTGTGCATGCTTCTTCTGCAAAGCACTTCCTGTGCGAGTAGATATTATTGAGCAGGTGAATAGTGATTCCTTCCACTTCCTGTCCAGCCTCACACAGAAGTGTAAGTGGGACAGCACTGAGTTTTATACCCTCTAAAACTGTTCCTTCAGCTCTGCTATGAAATATAGGAAGCTGACTGAACTACAGAAGAGTCTGGCCAATTCTACTGATTGTTATTTATCTCCATCAGCCCACTTTAAGGGATACTCGAATACCCTAAAGCAATTCAGCTTGCTTAAGCGATTTATGCGTGAAGAGTATGTAGTCTTTTTTTTTTTCATTTTACAAAAAGTATAGATTTCAATAGAAATTGGTACTTTCATAAATCAACTGTGTCATATTCCCCTTCCTGGTTTTGGTTAGCTCAGTGGAGCTAAACTCAAGAGACAGACAATTGCTCAAAGCACCTGCCTTGCAGAGACTTCACATTAATCTACATTAGGAAGTCTGTGTTTGGACAGCCACAGAAAGTCTGAGCAGGATTAGAAGGGGTGGGCTTGTTTCAGACATGAGAACAATCGCTTTTGCAAGCTGTTTTTAGATATAACCCCAATGTAAAAAATATATATAATTAAATGCATGCATGCTTTGATTTCATTCTATATCTTTTTTTTCTATGTGGGCAGTGGAGTTTCCTTTTGAACTCCAAAAAGGTATACACGCAGAAAAGAGGCGCCCCCTAGAGGGCATATGCCGATAGATGGGTGTCTACTCTGCCTAAGGTGATTTCCATCCTTGCAACCTGTGCCTATAACCGAGTAAGAGAACATTTTCAAAGCAACTATTTTAGTGTTAAAGTTTCCATTACACATTTCAGTTCCCTTCAATTCCGTGTTTAGAAAATAAAGTCCTACATGTTTACCAAACAATACATTTGAACTTGAGCTTTTTTTCTTGATATTCTTTGAAAATACCAACCTTTACTACAGTAACCTACCTCAGATACCACATATAAACCTTAACCTTTTTTTTTATTTTTTTTTATTCAATATACAGTGTTGGATTCAGACGATTGCTGGAAAATGAATTTCAAACTGTACATTACATGTAATTTAGCAATAAACCTGATCTGTTACTAAACAACATATATTAGCCTGAAAAACTGGTATCTCTGCAACCCAGCAAAAGACATATGATTTGTCTCAGAACACTCATTTCCAAATCTCTGTCGTCAGGAATCGTTTTCAGAGATGATCATGGCGAGATGTTCTTGAATGAAGATTGCTAATCCACTAATTCCAAATGGAATGGTCACACAATGGGAGAACTTGGTCAGCCTCTTCTATTTTTCAATTATTATTCCACTTACTTGTCACAAACATTACCATTACACGGAATCCAATAACGTGTTCATATTTAGTGAAAAAGAAAAAGATTGTGGGATAGAGAGAGGGGTGGAGAGCGTTTGAGGTTGAAAGAGGTATGTATTCAACAAGACAAAAGGTGTAGGTGTTCAAGGTCAACTTTTCTCAGAGGCCCACAATTTCCATTCCTGCATATTGAAGGAAAGTTTGGTAATTTAGTGCATCACTTCCTCTAAGGGAGATTGGGGGGAAACAAAGGGAAATATTATCTAGATCTACCAAAATCCCCTTGAGGTTGTGTCAGAAAAAAAGCCCAGTCAATTCAATTTATGGTGATTGTTTCATTTTTATTTTTCTTGACATGGTGTGCGTAAACTGTGCTATGATAAACTGCTTTATCAACGCGGACCTATCATCTGAATTCTAGTTACATAAAAAAGTTCAACCAATATACACAACCAATTTAGCCTCTATTACAAGGAAATAGGTAAAGCCCTTTGTCACGATAGATCAGGCATAGTATATTTACATCCAACCAATTAATAATATATTTAGTTATAATTACTACTTGGAAATAGTAATTATATTAAAAAAAAATAATTTGTGAAATAGTGACTCTTGCATGAATTACTGGATTAAAAAAATAATAATAATAAAAAGATTGCTTCAACAATCCGATGCCAGTTTGTAACAGTTGGCTATCCATCGAGATTTGTTACCTGAGTATCAGGAATGCAAACAAACTGAGAGGTAAATGCAAAAAAAACAAAACTAGATTTTGTAAGTGTAAAATTCTCTGGTCATTTCCCAATATGGAGAATTAAATCCTGCCAGCGTTTAAATTGCTTAATACCAATTATTGCTTAATACTCATCATTGCCAAGAACCCAAAGTGCCCACAGGACACATATGTTAGGCCCAAGACGTATTTTCGAGTTTTATAAAACACCGTAATTTCAGATTAAAAAAATAGATTTACGTCCATTGAAGTTAAAACCTATTTCTGCTTTTCATCCAAAAGAAGATAAAAGACATACTTTGTCAATTACTCCTCAAAAGGAGGGGTTTCATTCTGACTTTGAAATGGATTTGGATTTTTCCCTGGATCAACAAACCATTATTAATAATAATATTTTATTTTATTGTTCTGTTATGCTAACTATATTTAGCCCTTCTTTAAAGGCATCTATTGAATTTATAAACATATCTAGTCAAATTGTTATCTTTGCAAAAAGCCTTCTCTACTAATGTAGGTGAAATCAATGGGGTTTTTTTTAAGTGTGTGTGCTCTTGTACGGTTCTGGTAATTAAGTCACCAGAAAGTGTTTTATTGGTCCTTTATTTATTTGTCTAATATTATATGTCTATAAAAAACAAAAACTTTTAAAAATAAATGAATGCAACTTTTCTAGCCTTTCTCCATAACTAAAGACTTTTACTCCTTTCATTTTATCCTGTCTGCATTTTTCTAGTTTCACAAAGTAGATTTTCAGAAATAGTCCCTTTAAGTTGCACTGCCTATTCAAGGTGGGGTCTTAAAACTGATTTATAAGAATGCAGATTTCCATTTTTGCCATGCATGTTTAGGCTTGTTGGATATCTTGCATTTGATATTTATATTAAAAAAAAAAAAACCTGCTAAACAGGATGGCATGGTATAGACAGTTTTTAAGTGCTTTATAATGTTATATTTCTGATGAAAAAAAGCAGCTTTAATTAAAATAATACTATCACTTGCCATGGTTACAATCATTTTTGCTTATTCCCTATAGTAAATATATCTTTGTGTCTTTGTTACGTGTAAAAATTATAAAATGTAAAAATCCACATCTCTTTATCCTGCAACTGGCTGCATCCCTCTTGATTCCCTGTCAATCATTGTTATGAATCATGTCCTTTGAATTTAACAGTCAGCATAGATAAGTAATAAAGAGAAAGGACAAATTAAACAATGTTCCTGTGTCTCATTCTCATTTGCAATGTATGCTCTGGCAATACCTGGACTAAACTGGTTTGTGATATCATTTCCAAAAATGTTTATATAAATTTAAAAGAATACAGAGTATGACATGCAAAGATTAACAAACATTCAAAGTGGATTGTCTATATTTCACTCATTTTTTTAATTTCTGGAGAAAATTCCTCAAAATTATTTGGCACAATCCTGGAATATTGAAAATACTTAGCTCCCTAAGTATCGAGCGGGTGTATGTCACCTTGTACTTTGGCTTTATTTACCTTTTCTCATTTAGCTGAGCAGATTAAACTGTAAAAGACTGAAGAGATTTAGTCCATTCTTAGACAAGTAAATAAGGATACAATTAAACAGAACAATTTTCAGCAGTCTTCTTACAGAAATGTATCCATGGTTCGTTCAGATATAAAGACAGAAAGAATGTTGTAGATACATAAAAATTTTAAAAGAGGAAGTGTTTAATCAGGGTGGAAACCACAAGAAGAATGCAATTCAAAATTAGAGTCACAGTTCAAAATTACAAGCCAAAGGTCAAACACACACATGAGATTACTGGAAGAAATTATTTTATAATTACAAATTGAGTATTTGTATGCCACTTTTACAATAAGTTATATATAACGTCATATCATGAGAGATATGTTAAACCATCCTTTGTATCTACGCAACTCACTTTTGCTATTGTAATTTTAATTTGTTGAAAAACAATGGTACAACAAGGCTGTAAATAAGAAGTACAGTTTTGGGGGATAATTTCTCAAAGAGTACATTACGAAACTGAAAATAGAATCCAGAGACAAACTACAAAATAAAAACAAGACAATGACTTATGTTTCAGTTAGGATATATGAACTTAAAGTCTTGTTGTTTTGAGGTTAGTATCCGACAGAGAGCTTACTCCACAGTTTTCTAGGAATCATCGCAACCTTCCCATTACCATTAACCATAGGCGATCAAGAATCTCAATCTGGATATGTGACAAAATAAGGAGGCAAGAGGCACTACAAGCAAACAGGTCAAAGTAAAAGGGCAATTGGGCATGAAATCTGCAGATTTTTAGTCCTCTAGACTTTAGCAATGATTTCCAAATGTAGCCCAATCAACATGGCAACAACGTGACCTACATTTCACCAAGGTTGCCACCACATCACACATGCCAGCAGTTATACATCACCATTTGTTTTAAATTAAGATTTTTATTGTAGCAAATAGGCACGTAGTACAAGCATCAATATCAATACTATAAGACAAGGCTAACTATAAGACAAGGCTAGGGACTAATGAAAGTATTTAGAAAATTGGGCAGACTAGATGGGCCAAATGGTTCTTATCTGCCATCACATTCTATGTTTCTATGTTTCTATGTAATAGCATCACATACTTCACAGTTTTTATGCACAGTAAATCAGCAGAGTGAGCCAAGCACGTCAGTAGATGGGAAACTTGCACGCTAAGAACAGGTGTTTTTTGAATGCTGACTGAGAGTTTTATAAAAATAATGAAAGAGATCCTGTCTGACAGGTCATAACAAAAACCCTTAACTTTTTTACTGATATATTCAAGACTGACTTCTACGTCTTAATACACTGTTTCCTACTCTGCCATCAAAGGGTTAGAAATAACCACACCTCATCTTTCACTTGAGAGTTAGGGGGGGGAATGAGTCATGAGCTTGTTAAGTCAGTTGTCAGAAATTTGCTTTGACAAGTATGAGTACGGCACATTTTAATGATGCATAAATTATGTAATCATGATCTGCTGCCTTTGGCAAAATAAATCATGTTAGATTAGAATAATGAATTGCATTTTCTCCTTTTGTATGTCTGGGTCGCGGTACGTCTATGGAGACAGGGCCTGGATAAAACATAGAAAATAAAATGGAAAATGTGTCATACGGAAAATAAGTGGTAGTGCAAACTGTAGGAACTATTTAGTGCTAGACTCTAGGTCAGTGATGGCAAACGTTGCCACTGTTGGTGTATATATACATATAAACCTACATATTGTCTCCTTCTTTGTTTATATCTGGATTCATGTACCACATGAAATGAAAAAGCCATGCTTCTTTGTGACAAGAATCTATAAGGACAATGACAAGAGACGGAGAGTGGTACAAGTAAATTAGATTAAGGAAGAGGACAGGAATGAAAGTTAAAGCGCATAGAGATGGCCTGTTCATTGAATAATATTTTTTTCTGATCGTCCAAAAGCAGTTCTTTCCAGAAATATGCACCCTGCATGGATGGGGATGAACCATGTATGTCTTCTTGAATTGCTTGTTCCCATATGTGATGGAGCTCCCTGTACCCCTGGCTGGGTACCTCCGCCAAGGACCGCTTCCTAGCTGGAACAGAGGACAAACCTCAGCACTCTTGCCCACAGTCGCTGTGGCTTGACTGGGGTCATGTAATTGCTCCCTCCTGGAGTCGAATGGGGAATTCGCTCTAGACACCCCCAGGCACTAGACGACACTCAGTCCTGGGAGCTCTAGTCCTTACAAGGACTTTCCCCATTGAATCCTCCACACTGGAACAGTGATTAATGAGTAGCCCTTTCCCCTCCCAGTAACCAGATGACACATAGTTCTGGGAGTACACGCTGGAATACCTTTATTGGCAGCCACAACTGGCCTTATATGCAGGTTCCCATACAAGGGGCACTCCCCCCATGGACCAGAGAGTAGACTACAGTGACCAACATATCCAAACATCCCCCAGATCGGTTCAGGGGTTCAGGAATTTCCTGGAAGTCTTAATTTGACAGACCGCACACATGGTCCCATGCCCAAAACAGTTCCAGAGAATAAGGGCTTGCGGTCAGTCTAGTTCGGTGGTTTAAAAACTGAACAAACTACCGAACATAGTCAATGTTCTTACCCTGGAGCTTATTGACCTGGGAACGTTTCCACCAAACAGTGTCTTTCTAAGTGTTGTAGAACCGAACACAGGTGATCATGGAAGTCCAGCGGTGTTTGGGAGTTTCAGTGTTTGAAAATAGTTCCATGAACTCGAAGACCAAACACCGCTGCCTGTGTTCGTCCATTGGAAATGCGGCCACCCAGATGAACACTGTGGTGGAAATTGCTACAAAGTATCAGTTAGGCTTAGCAAGCTCCAGGGTGGTCTCCTGTTTGTGCAGCTGTTTGGTTCCCGAACCATATAGTCCAAATACACGAACTGAGACTTTTACATCACATTTTACAGGGTCCATAGTCTGTGGGCAGGAAGCTGGCAAGCAGTGCTACTCCAGGAGCTCATGGCAAACTCACTTGGAAAGGGGAGTTTGTCACACTAAACTGCCACTGAGGACCAGAGTGATCAGAGAGAATATTACATAGATACACCTCCTGCAGCTGGTATTGACTGATGTAACGTTCTCTCCAGATGATGCTGTGGTAATAATACTTGTTTTGAAGCTCCCATTAAGCTCTAAAAATACAAATGTTGAATAGTTCCACACAGGGAAAGAAATGCCCAAATCACTGTGCAAAAAAATATGTTTTC